AACAGAAAAATCATGGAATATACTGGATGATAAATTAATGAATTTATTTCTCTAGACAAAGTAAAAAAAAAATGCAGTTTATGTCAATATGTGGCACTCCAAAACCAGTTTCCATACTTTTTCATCAAATCCACAATGTCCAAGATAAAAGAAAAACCTGATTATCTCATAAGCTACTTATTATATAAAGTAGAACCTGAAGTAAAAAGTTACTATGAGTAATTGAAATAAATGATAATTGTTTCCTTTCCTTTGATTTTTGGTGTCTCTTTATGATTTTTTCCCCTTCCAAAAGATAATGATGCACTTGCTGTGTTTTAGAAGACCAAAGATCCTAATATAGTTATTTTAGGGTATAATCAGACTCATTTATTTATTAAGTGATATATTAAACACCATACTAATATAATTAATCTCTATAGTCCAGTAACACATTGTGTTTACAGGAATTAGCGTGGATACACCAGAAAGACTGCCATTTGAGGCGCTGGTTTTCAATGTCTTAAGTGTATGGATTTACAAGTATTTTCTCCTTTAAAAAATAAGAGCATAGTCAGGAATACAGAAAACTGAACAAGGTAAAGAAAGAAAGATAGTCAAGTGAGAAGAGATGAGAATGGTAATGGAAAGGAGAAGAAAATGGGATTAGAAGAAAAGCTATAAAGAAAACAATTAAGTACACGTGAGCACTGTTAGACAACGTCTTGATTTCACTCAATGAGCCATTCATATCTGCTGAAGTCCAGGGAAAGGGGTGGTAGGGTGAATGAGAGGGAGGAAGAAGGAGAGATGAACTTGAATAGGTTACCACACTCTCCGTTCATTCTGATTATGTTGGTTTCCCCTTTGAATAATACTCTCCTATTCTGGGGTTGAAAGAACAAGAGTGTGAGGATAGAGTCTGAAATGAGACTAGAGCGAGAATAAGAGAGGATAACGGAGATGGATAAATGTAGTTAGAATGAAGTTTTTAAATGACTCAATAGTTCTTCAATCTGTTCCCTTCCCCATACCCTCTCTGCCATCACGAGTCTTGCTCAACAATGCTTGTCACTTTAGGGGTAACAAAAACCATTAGCTTATAGTACTTATCTTCCATCTCTTATTAATCAGTGTCCAACATCCTATTTGTTGTAGTCTATCTTCTTCTTGGCTATCCAACCTGTTTATTTTCCACTCCAGTAACCTCAACTAGTGAACTATTTCTTGCCTTAATGTAGTCATCAGGTTCCAGAATATCTTTAAAAATAACAGTGAATATGACTGAATATTTAAACAAAATAAAATAAAATTTTTCCAAATGCTAGATTCAACCATTGTGCACGCCACTCTTCAACTGATATTCCTAAGAAGGAAGTATCTGTTCTTAGTATGAACAGAATCTTTAGCACACTTGCACTGCAAAACAGTATTATAAAGTTTAACAGATTCATTAGAAATATGCCCATATATTTTTAATAACTATAAATAGTATCATCAGCTAAAAAAGTGTTAAAAGTGTATCATGAGGGCAGAATTGCTGGTTCATATTATGCTGAAGTATCTCCCAGAGAGAAAGAGATGGAGTGACAGATGAAGTGGAAAAAATCTTGGGAGATTCCAGCAGCCTTTGAGGAGTAGGATCTTCAATAGCAGGAAAGACATATAATAGAACTCAATCTGCTTTGCTTGCATGTTCATGATTTTTTCTTCTTCCTACCTGGCAGCCATATTTCTCAGCCACAGAAGTATGTTGATTTGAAAAGCTTAAAATTCACTTATTATAAAGAATATTGAAACATGGAAAAAAACCCATAAAACTTCGTTTCATTTCAAATAAGAAAATATACTTTTTAAAAAAGAGAAAACTAGAAACATACACATCTAATTGGCCATCTTGAATATATACCATACTAGCAATTTAAAAAATAGTATTTAAACTCATCTGTGAATGAGCTTTCTCAGACTCTTAGGGGGAAATGTCAAACTGATTTCTATGTATCTTAAATAAAGAAAAATTATTAGAGTCTATACTTTGTATTACTACCTGTAGTAGTAGGAAATTTTAGAATTACAGAAAAAATACTAAAAGATGCTGTATCATTCAAAATACAGTAATAAAATTTAACACTGTTCATTATTGAGTCTACATTGGCATAGAACAATATTGACAATAGCTCATTATTCTAGTCAAATAATTAATGTATTAGAGAATATTAGTTATAAATTTCAAATGTATTAGGTCACTTTTTAATGTAACTTACTATGATATCCTAATCAACTCCAACCCCAAATGCCTACGGTAATGAATGGCGGGAAAGACGGGATAATTGCAGACTATAATTTATACTTGTTCCAAATAATTTATCTACCTGTCAAAGTTTTCATAGTAACAAAACCCAGAGAATTTCCATTTCACCCCCTTTGTACATTATCTAGGAAGAAGTTAAAAGTTAAAAGCACTGTACAGACCACACAGACAACAGTAGGAAAAAGAGGGCAGAGTGGCTGCATTTAATGAAATGCATCATTTTTGCACAAATATACCTCTCACTTAAGCACAAAGAAAAAAATCTGATGTCTGATCACACTATTAGGCAAAGCTCCTTTCATAAAGTTCAACATATTTTCCTGTCTTTATTATAATCCCCAAAGTCAATTTGCTGGCTCTAGCAGCAGTCTGCCAAGAAACAGGATTCCAGCTGGTCCAACTGTTGCAACAGGTCAAAGGGAAGAAGGGAAGTAGGAAAGTTAATTATTACTGAGCTCCTGATGTGTGCCTGGCATTATGATAGTGTTTTACATATCTTATTTATCTGAGTAAAATAAATAAAGTGAGGAATTGATAATAAAGTCCAATTTCAACTCTATTTTAAATTTCAGTTCAGCTGATTCACTACCAAAGTTATGAGAGATTATCTATAACTTCTAAGTTATATAAATTCTCACTTCTAGTCTTCTTTTCTTATCCTTGGCCCCACTTATCTCTCGCTAAATCCTGAGATTCACTTACATGCTTGTAAGTGTATAACAAGCAAAAGGGATTATTTCCCATTTGTTTGATAATTTTATAATTTCTGAGTTTGGGGAGGGAGTATAATAAAACTGATATAAGAGTGGCATCAAAGCACTGAGTTTTGGGTGACTTAAACAATCATTCTACTGTAAGGACTAAATGAGATAGAATATGTAAAATACTTAACATGATGCTTGGCACACCGTAAGAACACAATAAGCTTTAGCTACGATCATTATTATTATAAAAATGTAAATGATGATCAAACAGCTACCATGACTCACTTAAAGTCATAAGTCAATTTCAGAGTCAAAGCTGGAACCAAGTTCCCCAACCTTCATTCTGTGTAGTTTTCAATATTTTAGAATATTCCTGTGATGCAAAGATGTAGTCACATATTTTAGTAGTATTTATATGTCACCAATCCACATACATTTTATTAGTTTATTTGTAGATTTTTAGAAGCTTTCATATTCGTTTGATAAACCTCAGAATCTTTGGTCCACAAAGGGTATCCTTTAAACAATTTTACTTTTTATTAGAGACTAATTTCTATCCTCTTAGAATTGGCCATCTGGAAATGCATGCAGAAACTATTCAACAGATGTCATATTTGTTAAGGTTACATTGCAGAAATGAAGGCAGCATCAACATTAGTAGAAAGAAAAGCTACTCGTCTACTGAAGCAGCTGCTTTATCCCACTGCCCAAATCCTCATCCTCTGGGACAAGAAATTTCAGTCAGGACAACTACTTTGTACAGTTTCTAGTAATCGTAACAGAGAGTCATCAAAACTGTCATAGTGTAAAAAGCCTTTGTTCATTACCAACACTCAATTATTCAGTGCCAACTATACACTCATGCATTTAATTTTTAAGACTTTCGCAAACTTTTACTTCAATTATATAATGAACTTATTAAAGAGACATCATGCTTTAATTAGCAGTGCTTAGGAGTCTTTCTAAGATATCACAAGCTTCTCAATTTACTCAAAGCCAAAATTGAAATGCCATTTGTCTTAAGATCAGAATCATTGAGAAAAATCAGTCTTTTCATAAAATTTCTACTAACACCAGGGCATGCAAAAGCAAATTTAGTTAAATTGTGTAATGGAAAATAATACTCACTTTGAAGAGCTAGTGAGCTCTAAGTAGAATATTTATCATAAAAACTTTCAATTTTCAAATGAGAGCTATTATATAACAACCTTAGATTATTTAAACTTAATTTTTTTAGACAATACATTTTATTTTGGCAGAGAGAGGGGGACAAAGTGAACCAACTAAAACATATAAAATAGTAAAAAATAAATAGTATATAATGTTAATTTACTAAATCGAAGATTAATAAAAATAGCCCTTGAAAATCTACAACAGGCAAAGAATGGTACCATCATTAATAGCTGTATACAGGGATTTGTGAGGTTCATAGGGCAAGACAATTTTATAACGTTATTTAGCTAAGTGAAATAGTTTTAAATCTAAAAATGTTGTCCTCTTTTGGGAAATTAAGAGTGAGTTCAGCTATTAAATATATTTTTTCAAAGATCTACATTTAAAATAAACCATCCCCAAAATTCACCACTTTAATGAACAAATCAATGTTGAAGTAGACAAATACATGCATGCTGTTTTGAAACATCTAGTAGGCACTTTAACAATTTATAAAATGAAACCTTTAAAAGTTAACAAGAAGAGGCTGCATTTATACACACTGTCACTTTAATTTCTATTCCAAAATTGTTATTCTAGTTCATGGAGTACCTGTCCTTATGGAAATGCATATCTCACCTCAACCACCACCAATACTCCTTCATGTTCTTTTAAAGAAATGCCTTACTTTCTATCAAATAATTAAGAAAAATAAACAGTTGTTCAGATATTTTTTAAAGGCTGTTCATTATTTTGTACACAAATAGGCATTTCATTTCATTGGTATTCTTTTAAAGCTTTAGCAAATCTTAAAATTAGTTCCTCCCACTGACTCTTAAGGTAATTATACATACCACAGTCTGATGATTAACTTGAATCACTTCATCACCAGCATGGATTTTCTTGCACCGATCTGCAGGTGACTGAATTTAACATAAAAAAATGATAGGGTACATAAATTTCATCAGTCATTTTTTCTTTCTGGAAACACTACAAAAAGTTCATCTCCATTTCTTAGATGGAATAATTAATTATATTCTTCAAGGAATTAAACTAATAAAATGGTTATTAGTATTTAATATACTGTTTGTATTCTCTGTATAGCTTATGGTAACAAACAGAAATGCAAAACAATATGTAGATTTTTGTGATATACAAGAATAATGCATTTTTGAGAGTATTACGAGAAAATTATAATAATTGGTATTAGCCTTTGCAAACTTTGTACAGGCAACACTGCTAGGTTCTACTTGGTAACTACTTCAAAAATATATTTTAAAACATTATCTTTTTTTAACTTTGAATCATTACATTTAACATAAATAATTCACATTAACTTTAGCAAATCAATATTTTCAAGTATATGCATATGATAAACACCAAAGCTTTGAAGTATAACTAAATTGCTAATTTTTTATAACTGTTCTGTGACTTTTAATAAATTTTCTGAAACTATTTTTAAAAGGTATTTATTGTTAATCTTTTTAAACAAAAACTAAATTCCAAGATAAAGAAAAGATCACAGTACTAAATTGCTAATTTCTTTTATCATTAATAAGACCAATTCTGAATAATCTAGAAAAGCAAATTAAAAGATGGACAGAAATTAGTTAAAGTTGTATGACACAGCATATGTTCTAATTGTCTAGTTATGAGAGAATTCTGTTTATAATGTTTCATAAAGAGTAATACACTGGCTAATACAACCACATTAAATTAAGTAAAATGGCAATACTTTTACAGGATGTAATAGTTCCATCACTTTTTAAATTTGCTTCCACAAGAGATTTTTTTTTTTTAAAGCAACTTGGTAAGCTAAATCTGACAAGTTTTAAGGAGTTTTAGGAAACTAAAATGAAATTTAAGATAGAAATTTTATAATATTGTATGTTCAGGTAATTAATTTAAAATATTATTCTTGGGCATGCGGCCTGTAGTTCCAGTTACTTGGAAGGCTGAGGTAGAAGGATAGCCTGTGCCCAGCAGGTCGAGGCTGAGGTAACCGTGAGCATGCCACTGCACTCCAGCCTAGGTGACAAGAGTGAGACTCCAACACAAATATATATATATATATTTTTTTTTCTGTAGTAACTACTGAGTACTGATTATATACAATTTTAGACTTTACAATTTTATTTTAAAGATGTAGGGTACAATTCAGGGTTAGGTATACAAATGGTCTTTGCAGAGGTAAAGTTTGGGCCTCACTTTGGTCCCCAATTCACCTGGTTTGAGATCAGGTATCCTTACTGATGAAGTATGCCCTCTCACCCCGCCCCCTGGCCCCGGCAGTTTCCCACTGCTGCCAATCCCTTTCTTATAGTAATATGATAATTGTTCAGGGTCTGCTTATGAGTGAGAACATGTGGTTCTTTGTTTCTGTGATAGATCATTGAGTATTACAGACTCCAAATCCATCCAAGTTGCCGCAAAGTTCATAATTTTGTCCTTCTTTATGGCTGTGTAATATTCCATTGTGTATATGTACCACATTTTTTAATCCAGTCTACTTTCAATGGGCAGCACTTTTGGTTCCATGTTTTTGCTATTGTGAATAGTGCTGCAATAAACATGTGTGCACAGGTAGCTTTTTTATAGAATAATTTGAGTTCCTCCGGGTATATTCCCAGAAAGGGGATTGGTGGGTTGTATGGGAGGCCGATGTTTACATCTTTTAGGAATTACCACACTGTTGTTTAAAATTTCTATTTATTTTATTGTATTTTATTTTATTTTGAGAAGGCAGGATTTATTGAGAGGACAGAAAAGCTCCCACAGTGGGAGGGAATCTGAAGCGGTTTCTCCTATTTTTTCTTTATTTTAAAGATGTGGGGTACATTCACACTGATTTCCACAGAGGTTGTACTGGTTTACATTTCCACCAACATCCTCTTTTCCCCACATTCTCTCCAGCATCTATTGTTTTTTGAGTTATTGATGATGGCCAACCTGACTGAAGTTAGGTGGTATCTCAGTGTGGTTTTAATTTACATTTCCTTGATGATTAGTGATTATAATATGGCAATATGCTTTTGATATTTTAAATATATAGAAATAGCCAGGCTCGGTGGCTCAGCCTGTAATTCCGCACCTTTGGGAGGCTGAGGTGAGTGGATTGCCTGAGCCCGCGGGTTCGAGAACCGCCTGGGCAGCGAGACCTCATCTCTACAAGAAATAAAAAAATCAGCTGGGCGTGGTAGCGCATGCCTGTAATTCGGGTTACTTGGAAGGCTGAGGCGGAAGGATCGCCAGAGCCCAGCAGGTCGCGGCTGCGGTGGCCGGGAGCGGCCACTGCACTCCAGTCTGGGCGACAGAGTGAGACTCCAACTCAAAAAAAAAAAAAAAAAAAAAAAAAAATTTATATATATATATATATGTAGAAATGTGCTTTTTATAAAAAGTATTTGTGTATATATGTGTATGTGTTTATCAACCACAACTATAAATTCTATACTATTCATTATTGCCTATCAAAAGTCAAAGAAGAATATGATAGAATCTGCAAAGTAAAATGCTACTTTTGAGATCCTAGAAAAGAATTTGCTTTTAGTGATTTCCAGTTACTTTATTTCTGATTCATTTCCAATTTACAATTATTTCTAAAACATAAAAGTCTTGAAACAATATTAACCTAAATTCAACAAATTTTTAAAATTAAAAATAAAATTATTTGGCACAGCCTAGAATTCAAGAAAAGATAATATCCCAGGGAGTTCTCATAACTGAAGTAATGACTCCAAGTATACTATTAAGGAGGTAGATTCATCTACAATATAAACTCAACATTAAGGATGGTGTCATAACAATAAAAGAATGCAGAAGATTAATTACTGTCTGTCTTATGTCTGTATGTCTGTATTACCAAATCAGAAAAGTACCATGTAGCAATGTTGCAAAATTGTAAATCATTATTTTAACAAAGCTGTAATTATAATTGGTCCCTATGCTGTTTGGTTCGCAACTGATCTTTTAAAAGGAAATCATGGGAAAAGAATATGAAACAAATGACTCTAGTCATAATGTAAACAAAAGTGATAGCTGGTACGTAAAATTCAAAGAAACTAAAGCAACTTTGTGTACAGGGATGTAAACCAGTCATAAAAATTATAAAAGGACCCTAGAGATTATTTTGTCCAAATTTCTCATTTTACATATTAAAAAAACTAAAAAACTGGGGCACAGCAAAGCAACTTACCCACTTTAGTGAGCAGCTTTACTAAGACTCAAAACAAATCTCCTAATTATAAATGACTGAGGTTACCAAAAATAGTAAAACGTTTTCAAGAAAAAAGAATCAAAGGATGAACTATTTCTACTAATATATGGTTTATATTTAAATGACTCCCAGAATCAGTCTTTCTTTTGATCACTTATCCATTTACCAAATATTACTTTGTATTACTGAGTAACTAATATGAGTAAGGCATATGCTCAATTTTTTTATTGACCTCAGACAATATAGAGAGATTCATTCCTACCAACCCTTCATGACAGTTCAAAATCACCATTTCTGTGATTACTTTTCTGATTTCAGTTGGCAGCATTTACTACCCTTTGCCCATGCAAATTGCACTACTTGTTTATATAGGTGAATCCCTATATGCTGTCCACTCCTCAGGGGCAGTAAACTAGTTTATTTTAAAAAGTCTTCCAATACCTAGCACCATGCCTGGAACATAGCAGATGTGAAGCAAAGGCGCGTTAAATGAATAAATTAATACATTAATAATTAAATGAATTTACAAATAAATGAGAATGATCAATCAGTGACAACAGTAAAGTTTGTAGCATCTTACTGCACTTAAAATTGCTAAAAAGTTCACAATATGCATTTAAATGATATTCTAATTCCTTATGACTCATATTTAATACCATATGTGAAGCTGCTACAGCAATCCAACTGCAATGTATATTAGGTATTTCACCTTTCACAAGACACCAAAAGAACAAGGGGAAAATCAATAAGTGATTAAAGTAATAGGTGAGTTAGGTGAAGAAAATGTTGATTTTTGAAAAGAAAATGGTCACAAAATATTGAGATCAATAATAACTTGAAATTAAACTTAATCCACCTCAGTCCTCTTTAAAGAAGCATAGCATAAACATGCAATTTCTCAGAATCGCTAATAGAAAAATGTAAATTTAAAGCTTAGTACCTGCTTATATAAGAGTAGAATGGAAATCAAATGTGGGAATAATGATTTATTATGCCATTCAGTTCTATCACACTGATCATATATTAATGCCCACCATGATCACATATTTCTTTCTCCATAGAATAGCTATAGTTCTCTATAACAAAGTCTTTCACATTTATTAGCTTATTTGATTTTCATTACAACTTATTGAAGTATGTAGTTCAGATAATTTATTTTTAGCTTATAGTTGAGGAAACTGAGGCTGTGAGAGGTTAAATGTCTTGCCTAAAATTGCACTTCCATTAAGATGCAGACTGGTTGTAAGACCTTGCCCTGGGGACTTCTGACTCACTGCTAACAGTGATTCTCAAACATGCCTCAGAATCACCTGTTAAAACAGGATCTCTTTTTAAGAAATAGACTGATCCTCAGAATTTTTAATCGAGTGGGTCTCGTGTGGGGCCTCAGAGTTTGTATGTCTAGCAAGTTCCCAAACTAGACTAATGCTGCTAGTCCAGAGAGTTCACTATAAAAATCACTCAGTTACCATACTGCACCTTTATTGAACTAAGTTTAATTATATTGCAAGTATTCAGAAAGCCTGACTTAAGAGATTCTTTTTTTCACATGAGTTTTTCTTAACATAACTAAACCATTTGACAGATGAAACTGGATTCTTTTAGACGTCACAATAACTTGTCATGAACCAAAAAATACTTAACAAAGACCGCAAATCTCTGGCCGCAAACAGGAAACATCTGATTTACTTTAAGTAGTTATTCTAAATGAAATAAGATGACAAATTCTAACCAATCAATACCTACTAACTCACTGTATCTTTTAAATTGTATCTCCTATCTATTCATGTTCTTACATGAGAGATATATAAGTTGTTTAGCAATAACAAAATTTCAACAAAATTTGAAATGTTGAAATACTTACATTTTCTGTGGTTCCAGTAATTACATGGAGGCCATCATATGTTGATTTAATATACATACCCTAAGAAAAAGACAGCATCAGAAAAAACGTGAAGCAATTAGAATATTTTCAAGTACATTATAATCTCATTTTTAAAAAACTCTATCAAATTAAAACTCCCACGTGCCCTAGGGACAAATCCATGAGGACAGGCTCTGGCTTTAAACTGGAGAGAAATTACTATCTGAATAGTCTGACTTCTTAAGTTTGTTCAGAGAAGCTTATATCTAATCATATAACTACTTAAATGCAGCATGGTAGTTCAATATTCTGAAGAAAGAACACCCCCAAATCCACACTATATATTCTGTGACAAAATAAAAGTTATAGTGAAAAATTCAAATATTGGTATGTTATTCTTATTATATTTTTATATATTATACAATAAAAAGGTTTCTATGGAGACAACTTCAATTATAACTGACTAGAACCAGAAAAACGATAATATTTTATATTAATTTAGTATGCTATTTTGTGGTATCTTGTATTTTACACTTTTATTTCTTACTGACAAAGTTTAAAAAAATTATATCCAATCATCTCTATATCAATAATTAAAAGGTAATGTGTGGCAATCCCATCCCCTATAAAAAGGGTGAGATTCCATTTTTCATTTAAATAAAGCCATTTTAGAAAAAAGCCTCATTAAAGTTTAAAAATTATACAGAAATCCTGAAATTGTGCAAGCTTTAAGAGCATATGAAAACTTTAAGTCATGGATATTGATAAAACTTTAAACAACAATATTATAATAAAGGGTTCACATTTTATATATTAAAATTTTAAGTAAATCAGAAAAAAAATAGATGATTCAGTGAATGACTTTTTTCCTCCATTAAGAAATATTTTTTAAAGTTCTTTTTTGGGGAAAATTTATATGATTTTTACCTAGTGCTCGCTTTGGCAGCACATATATTAAAATTGGAACGACACAGAGAAGATTAGCATGGCCCCTGCACAAGGATGATACACAAATTTGTGAAGCATTTTTGCACCAGCTTTTATAAAGTAGCTACTAAGTAAACTTAAAAAAAGATATTGACTCTAACACTACCATAGCTGGGGACTTTAATAACCCACTATCTACCCTAGATAGATAATCGAGGTAAAAAATCAACAAGGAGATCCGGAATTTCAGCCTGATGCTTGACCAAATGGACCTAATAGATACCTGCAGAACACTCCACCCAACAACCACAGATATACATTCTACTCATCACCTCATGGAACGTACTCCAAGATTGACCACATCCTCGGCTATAAATCAAGTATGAATTTTACCTATAAAAGTGTTTTGACAGACTGGATAAAGAAAATGTACATTTACACGATGGAGTACTATGAAGCAATAAAGAAAAACAAAATTATGAACTCCACAGCAACTTGGATGGATTTAGAGTCTACAATACTCAGTGATTTATCACAAGAACGAAGATCTGAGTAGTACATGTACTCATTCATAAGTGGACCCTGAACATTTATCATAATACTATAAGAAAGGGACACTACCAGGGGAGGGAGGGGGTAGGCACAAAACAGCAATAAAGGTACCAAACTTTACCTGTACAATGGCACTTATGTACCTAACTCTGAATTATACCCTTCATCTTTAAATTAAAAGAAGTGCTTTCCAATTTCAAAATATTGATTTCATAAATAAAAAACACTAATTTTAACCAACTACAAATTGAAATATGAGATTTAACAATAAGTAACAACATCATTTCAGAAAAAGCATGTATTTAGCACTTATGTAAAGCAAACAATTATGTTTGCTATAATATTAATATCTCATACTTTTTTTATTTTTTTGAGTTGGAGTCTCACTCTGTCGCCCAGACTGGAGTGCAGTGGCCGCTCCCGGCCACCGCAGCCTCGACCTGCTGGGCTCCGGCGATCCTTCCACCTCAGTCTTCCCAGTAGCTGGAATTACAGGCATGCGCTACCACGCCCGGCTGATTTATTTATTTATTTATTGTAGAGATGAGGTCTCGCCTGCCCAGGCGGGTCTCGAACCCGCGGACTCAGGCAATCCACTCACCTCAGCCTCCCAAAGGCATGGGATTACAGGCTGAGCCACCGAGCCCGGCTAATATCTCATACTTTTATGTTAATTATATTTTTAGATACTTGAATATACATGTGTTTTAATTGAAAATAAGAGATTTTTAAAAAGCAGTAAATTTCATGACATGGAACTAGTGAGACATCACTGGTTATGTTTTAATTCTAAAAAGCCATTTCAGTAATATCATACATCTAAAATGTTACCAGTTCTTTTATTATTATTTTTAAAATTATAAAGATGTGAGGTACAATTCAGGGTTAGGTATACAAACATTGATTATGCAGGCACCCTTGTTGAGGAGATATGCCCATCCATCCCCTAGTAGTTTCCCTCAACTGCCAATCCAATCCCCTCCCCTGACAGTTTCCCATTACTGCCAAACGCTTTCTTATAGTATTATAATTGTTCAAGGTTCACTTATGAGTGAGAAAATATAGTACTCTGTTCTTTGTTTCTGTGATAGATCACTAAATATGATCAACTCCAAATCCATCCAAGTTGCTGCGAATTTCATATATTTGTCCTTCTTTATGGCTGCATGATATTCCATTGTGTATATGTACCACATTTTCTTTATCCAGTCTAGCTTCAATGGGCATCATGGTTGGTTCCATGTTTTTGCTATTGTGAACAGAGTTGCAACAAACATCCATGTGCAGGTATCTTTTATGTAGAATGATTTGAGTTACTCTGGGTATATTCCCAATAGGGGAATTGCTGGTAAAATGTTACCAGTTCTAGAACTGGTTGAGCCTGAATCTCTAATGTGAAACAAAGTGAATATAATTTTAAAGGATGACCATTTACATATGAACACTAGTTTCTTAAATGAAAGTTTATCACATTATATAACATAAATAACTAACCTCAATAAAAATAAACAGAAATTAACAAATTTGCCAGTAGTTATTGACTATGACAATATAGTATCACTCAGCCTATGCTGGTGACAGGTATATAATGTACTTACTTTTTTTTTTTTTTTTTTGAGTTGGAGTCTCACTCTGTTGCCCAGACTGGAGTGCAGTGGCCACTCCCGGCCACCGCAGCCTCGACCTGCTGGGCTCAGGTGATTCTTCCACCTCAGCCTTCCAAGTAGCTGGAACTACAGGCACGCGCTACCTCAACCGACTAATTTTTTGATTTATTGTAGAGATGAGGTCTCGCTGCCCAGGCAGGTCTCGAACCCGCGGGCTCAGGCAATCCATTCACCTCAGCCTCCCAAAGGTGCGGGATTACAGGCTGTGCCACTGAGCCCAGCTTGTACTTACTTTTAAAGCTAACATTTATCCCATCATTTATTGGAAGGTGAATATAATGGTATTAGTTTAGAAAGCAGAGGAGGACAAGATCTTTGCAAATATCTTTTGTTCAGGAATTAACAAGGTTATCTCAAATTAAGAAAGGATTGTAAAACATACTTATGTGCTATATAATGACATTTTAGTCAATAACAAACTACAAATATGACTGGTAGACTCATAAGATTATACTACAGTATTTTATTGTACCTTTTCTATGGTTAGGAAGGTTTAGGTAAACAAAATACTTCTAATTGCATCACAATTGCCTATGGTATTCAGTACAGTAAAATGAGGTACAAGTTTGTAGCCTAGATGCAATAGGCTATACCATGTAGCCTAGGTGTGTAGTAGGCTGTACCATTTGGATTTGTGTAAATGCACTTTAGGATGTGCTCATAATAATGAAATTGCCTAAGGACGCATTTCTCAGAATTTATTTCCATCATTAAGTGAAGCATGGCTGTGCATTTGTAAGAGCTAGACACTAAATTTTGTTTTAATTTTTTATATAAAGGTTGTAATAGGAAAAGTGGAAGAAGACAATCAACAAACAATATATATTGCTTGGATATACAAAACAATCATCATTCATCATCACCATCATCACTAATATCTACTTGTTACATTGTGCCAGGAACTGCTTTAAGTGTTTTACATTGAGTTCACAATAGCCTATGTCGTGGAAATGATCATTACCTTTGTTTTAGAGACAAGAAAACTGAGGCAGAGAGGTTGGGGAGTCTGCCCAAGGTGGTGAAGCCAGGTTTCAAGCTCAGGCAGTCAGAGTCCCCACTCTCAACCACTTAGTTTCTGATTTATGAGTTTATTAACAGTTAAGAGAGTTGTACACCTTAACTTTCCTTATTGGAATATAATAATTGGCAACTGCAGAGATTAAAGTTAAACAATCACTGTTTAACATCTATTATAAAAGACAGAGACCACTTTAGCACAAATGTGGTGAATGAAATGTGGTTTAAAAGAATAATTTGGTTTGATATTTTACAAATTCATTTCAATCACTCAACTTTCCTGACAACTGTAAGCAGAATTTGATTATATTTCTCTTCACATTTCTTTTAACACTCTGCATTACTGATTATGAATTAAAGGTATTTGACAAGAGTTCCAAATTATTCCAAAGATGATTAGGTCATAGAAAAAGTCTAATATCTTAAGAAAAATGCTTAGAAAAGACACTAAAGTTATTGGGATAATAAAACATCATGGAGATAGTGCAGTTGTGACTCTGAAAATAATATTTATGCACAATTATTGCATATACCAAGAACTTAAAAACAGACAATTGTAAGTTAAAGTATCTAGTAGCTTTAGGGAGAAAAAAATCTCATCATTACAATATTATCTAATTTATAGTAAAGCTAACTTTTTCAGATAGACAAAAATATTTTTAAATGCTTAATGATGGATCTAGATTTATACATAAAATTCAATTCTAGAAACTTTTCATAGTCATGAGCAATAGGATAGCAATAAAGCACATTTTAAAATGCCACAATAATAAAGATATTTTGTTTTGTGTAATATTTTCATTTCTAAACTCAATAAATCATATTGTAACTGCCTTTAATAATCAAAACTGAATTCCTCATCCTGTTTAATCTCCCTCTTGTAGTACTAATAAGAAAAATGGCCAAAAGTCAGGCACCCAAAGAAAGAGAAGAAACAAGTTGCTTGGATGAGTTTCAAACTAATCATCTTCTGAATAACAAAGACTCCACACAGTATCTGATTAGTTGTTCACCTCTGAGAAGGGGCCACACAACAGGAGGACATGTAATTTGAGTGGTTCTTTTTCTGGAACTGTGACAAATATGGCCTTCCATTTCATCGAAATCTTCATTCCACCTTTCTTTTTTAAACCAATTAATTAATTCTAGAGCTGACTTGTTCAGCTCCCTCTCTCCTGTTCAGCTTGCCAAAATGACATTTGCTTCACTCTGTCTCCAACTGTTGGTTAACCAACAGGAGCCAAAGTGCAACCTCACAGTCAAATTGGTGGAATGTGGCATATTTGGAGACAGTCCAAGAACATAAATAGAAAAAGAATTCTTTGAGGCCAAGAGGCTTCCCCCAAGGATGTCCCCCAGCGCCTTCCTCTCTATTCATCTCCTCTTGGCTCTAATCCCATTTTTGATATGTTTCAATAGCTCTCATTTTCCTTCAATTTTTCTGCTAATTATTGTTGTTTGAAAGCATTTTAGAAGCAAGTCTCACGTTTTAATTATAACTAAACACGTTTCCAACCCTTTCTTGTAATGCTTCAGAACTCTCAAATATAAGAACTCCTAGGAGATTTGACTAATTAGATAGAAAGCTGATGAACAATCTATCTAGTCTATCAGTAGAACAACAAAGCAGTTACCTTTTGCCTATGAAAGATGTTCCGTCTTGAAATTGGCAGAAGGCCTTCTGCAGATTTTTCTGACCTAATTAATCTTCATTAAAGTTTGGTAGTCTCTTTCCATTTCTTTCCTTCATTTACCATTTAGACATTTCCTATGGCTAAGTATATGCTAAATGTTACTAAAATGCTCAAACTGATTTATTTCAAATGTTACTGGCTAAACTTACTTAAAAGTGGTTGAGTTTTAAAATGACACCTTGAATAAGCCATTTAAAATCTCTGTTTAGTGTTTTCCCCTTTGATAAATCACAAAAATAGTTTTATACTTAACTGTGTATTAATATTCAATTTTTTAGGTTTTTAAAAAGTTTTCCTTGACCTATCTTCCCAGTTAAGCACTGCCCAATGTTCTTTAAAATTGAATTTCTCTAAGTAGTTCTGGTTTTAAAGTCATTCTCCTAAATTTCTCATTTCTCCCTTTAGCAATTACAAATTTGAATGTGGGATAACGAAAAAAGTTTTATTCAGATGTATTTCATCTATATTTACCTGTACTTAAACCTGCTTCTATTGTTTATTACCTATATGTGATATATAGCAAATTTGGGAAGATCTGCAATTCTATTTTCTCATTTGCAAAATGGAAAAATTAATGCCTACTCTATAGAGTTGTGAGAAACATACCTGGCCAGTGGTGGGCACTTATTTCTTTTATTTTTACTTCCAGCTCTTTCCCAGACTATTTAACTGAATCTGATTCTTAGCATTTTAAATTCATGACTATTCCAATAAGCAGACCTAGCTCTACTTATTTTAAATTAAAACAATAAAAGACATGTTTCAAGGCTATACCTTCATTTAAAAAAAAATCAAGATTTCATAAGTCCATTAATTAACGTTGTGCTGACTTTCTTCACATGGTTAATTCTCCTCATGATTTCAGTGGAAATTCGAGGGTACAAAGCAGACTCTTTTCTCTTTAAAATCACAAACACAAAGAGCTTGAAAGAGCTTTCAAAGATAACTCCTGCCACCTCTCCATAAGACAAAATCAAGATCAAGGTAGTCAAATTTACTACCTCACCTCTTTAAGAACACTCTCATGGTTAAATTTTATGTAAGTGATTTGTATCCAGGCATCCTGATTTTCAGTGTAGTATCATGTAGTATTAGTATATAATTTTCCACTCTAAAATCATGCCTAGCTCCTTTTACTTTATAACTACCAATTGGGGAAATGAAGAAAAGATAATCTTTAATACTATAGACAGAAGGAACTAGAGTCTATAATACTGAGCGATCTCTCACAGAAACAAAGATCTGAGTATCACATGTTCTCACCCATATAGTGGATCTTGAACATCTATCATAATACTATAAGAAAAGGACTGACAGTGGTGAGAAACTATAGGGGGGTAGGGAGGGGAAGGGAGGTGGGATTAACGGTAGTCAATATCTGTCTGGAGACAGGGAGACATCCCTTATCAACAAGGGTGCCTGAACAATGCATATTTGTATACCTAACCCTTAACTGTACCCCACAATTTTAAAATAAAAAATAAAATAAAATAAAACTGGACTTTATGAAGGTAACCTAAAGGAATAGTAAGAATTTTAAATCATGAATATTACTTAAAATAAGTTAATAAATGTTAATGATCAGTCTTAAAACTAATTAAAGTTAGATATAACACTTATAGCTTACAATGATGACATGCTGACTATGCCTGATATGCTGATTTTCATCTTCCCAGAAAAACATCCATAAAAGTCATAAAAGCACTAAGAACTATGGATAACCACAAACAATTCACCAAATATCAGGAGGAAAGTTACTCTTTAGAGTAGATGGCCTCAAACTGAAAAATCAGTGGTCATCAATGAAGACTTTGCCTGAATATATACAAAACTATATATCTTTTTCATATATATGGAAAAGAAAAGCCACATAAAAAGTTAAACTTGGCTGGGCTTGGTGGCTTAGCCTGTAAATCCAGCACTTTGGGAGGCCAAGGTGAGTGGATTGCCTGAGCCTGTGGGTTCGAGACCAGCCCGGGTAACTTGGTGAGACTTCGTCTCTACAATAAATCAAAAATTAGCCAGGCGCGGAGCACACGCCTGTAGTTCTGGCTACTTGGAAGGCTGAGGCAGATGGATCCGGAGTCCAGCAGGCCGATGCTGGGGTGGCCGTGAATGTGTGTGCCACTGCACTCCAGCCTGGGTGAAGGAGTGAGACTCCAACTCAGGAAAAAAAAAAGTTAAACTTGCTTAGAGATCATTAAGAATATATTATCTGAGTTCAATTATTAAGGCTAGTTGGTCAAGATTTCTATTTTTCAAAATATAATTAATTGGTAAATTCATATATAGGGAGAAAGTGGAAACACTGTAGCACCAAGCTAATATGTAATAATTGTGTAATAGTTAAGATATTCTCTACCCATTCTCTTGTTTTATATCCCTCCCTCATGAATATCAGTTTTTAATCAGAAATCATCTTTATTATCATATAACAAAAAACACATCTAGTAGATGATAGTTTTATATCTCTTGTTTTATATCTCTCCCTCATCAATATCAGTTTTTAATCAGAAATTATCTTTATTATCATATAATAAAAATGCATCTAGTAGATGATAGTCTAGTGTTGGCAATATCCACTTGCTTATTCATACTTGTGAGAATGAATGTCAGTTATAAAGATTATTGGCTTTATTTAGCTTACCCACCCTGGGGGATGGAAACCCTATTAAAATCAGAACAAACCAAAGTAAAATAAAAAAACACCTACTTGTATGGGCAGGTAAAATTGTGGTGCTTATTATAAAACCCTTAACTTAAACTTCCTTTAAACCTAAGAAACTTTGGTGAGGGATGAAATAATTCAATCAAAGCTAAATTGTCACCAAATTCAACAGGATAATATAGAAATCACCTTTTTCAATTCTCCTTCATTTTCATTTATCCTCATAAAACTTCTTATCATACATGACAAATTTCCACTACCTTAACTGTTCTAGGGAAAAAAATACCAAAATGTTCAATGTCTGTTGATATTCATAGATTTTCACATTTAGAGTCAGCTTTGTTCACATCATTAGCTGTCTGCTGATGGATGCTGGTTTTGGTAAACATGGTATCTCTTACCAGCCCTTCACTTGGTTTGATGTTTGCCAGTTGAATCACTTCCAGGTGAGCAGACTGTGAGACCAGAGGATCTGATGACAGTGATATGATGTGGTCACAAACTCCTGAAAGAGTTTTACACTAGAAGCAGAAAAAAAAAAGTTGCAGTAAACACGTGTTTTATGTAACATACAAATCATCTTTAATTACAACTTATTTTTTTTACAAGGACAAATAAAAGAAACAGTAGAAAAAAGTAATTGGTATTTTATTCTGTAAGTTGTATAAAAAATAAATTCAGGTGAAAAGAAAACAAATATACACAAATGTGCCTATATTCTAAATTATGGATATAAGAACTATATGACAATATTAATGAAAGTTATGGTTATGTTTTGTTTCTATCATTGGATTCATCAAGCCTAAAATAAAATAATTGTTTCTAAAAAAACTTATTACAATAATCTGAGAGCCTCCTGATAGCACCTATCAGACTGAAGTGAGTTAAATAACATAAAAAAATTTATGTCTTTTAATTCATGATCAAAAAAGTAAAAAAAAAAAAAAAAATCTGGTCAAGGTCCAGGAAAGACGAATCTCCCAAATCTGCTTAATTAACTCTTTTCTACTAATTTATCTAGACTTTCCTGTTTAAAGTTACCTTTGTATAAAGTTTCCAACCTCTTCCAAGCAAACTTTGGCATACTTTCAATCCTGCTTTCTCAGCATCTATAAGCAGCCTGACATTGTATAATAACTATTTTATTCTGAATCCCTCTGAGGCAAGGATCATGTCCTACTCATTTCTGACTTCTTCTCTTCTTCCCCCCACACCCACCTACTACCCATACCAGATAGACAAATCTTAGAACATACAAAGCATGCAATAAATATTTGAATGAACTGAAGAACAAACAAGGTTTAACAACTAGTAGAGTGGCTATACTAAGGACAGAAAGTTAACACTTCAGTCAGGATAAATTCATTCAGGCTGATACCTGTATAGAATAATAGATTTAAAATATATGTTACATTCTGTCAGGGGAGGGGGGTGGGATTGGCAGTTGAGGGAAATTGCTAGGGGAGGGAGGGACATACCTTATTAACAGGGGTACCTACATAATCAACGTTTGTATACCTAACCCTGAATTGTACCCATCTTTATAATAAAAAATAAAATATATGTTACATTAATCATAGTATGTTTAAGACTTAGACGTGGCAAAATCAAGAAGAAAGTAGAACATGAGTGATGCTGGCACTCAGATGCTTCACAGACTCTCTTTATACTTGCTGAAGCCTGGTTTTTATCATTTCAGGGTTTTTTGTTTTGCCTTTACTGTAGGAGGAACTGTTATTTTGTAAAAATAAAGGTGTTAATATTCTATCCATATTCAAGAGGGTACATACGTTCTGTGACCATTGCATTAGTCTACTGTGAGGGAGACATTCCCCTTGACTGGTCAGGATAATAAGAACTCTCTTTTTATTTGTTACATTCTGTCCTTGGTTCATGGCCTCAGTCTGTTCTGGGTTCAGCTTCCTCACACTACACAAACTGCCATGTTAACTTTCCCACCTTAATTGAGCTCATACGTTTTTGCATCTGCTTCTAGAGTCTGCATTTTTATTGTGGCTATTAGCCCCCAAAGACAGACAAACAACCTCGTGGTACCAATATCCACGCAAGGAGCATGGGCTTGATATGAAGACAGATGGGTGTAGTCACCACACTACCAATGACTTGCTGTGTGACTGTAAACAAGTCATTTTATATCTTTGAGGCTCAGTTTCCTCAGGTAGAAAATGAAATGAGGTAATAAATGTTATTTTATATGGCTATGCAATAATGCATTTAAAAAGAGCCAATATGGCTCCTATCCAAAGAAGGCACCAAATAAATGCTTTTTTCCTCCTGTTGCTTTTTCTACCCCTCAGAAACTCAATCCTTGCTCATGGGATGAATTACCCCATTTATTCTTAATCCCACGACTTTGCTGACCATCTTACAATGACCAGTAACCACACTGGCCAGTCTAGCTGCATAGTCATGATAGAGAGTTCATACCTCTTTACTCTTCTCAGATGTTCAGGACTCAATGCTTTTAGACACAAAGAAGGTATTTACCCTGAGAAGCTGCTAGGCAAAGTGCCAACAGGAAGATCAACCCCCAGAAAAAGGGAACCCTACAGGGCCAGTTTCAGGGGTGTGTGACTTGTGTAGTTGCACATGGTCCTACACTTGGTTTTATGTTCTGCTGTTACTGTCTTAAGATTTTTAATTGTTTTTGAACAAGGGGCTTGGTATTTTCACTTTGCATTATTTCTCACAAACTATATAGTCCATCCTAGGATCCCATTCTCTGTTGTTTTTGTTTTCCTTTCTTTTTAAAAAATTCCTCTTAAAATTCATCAGCAGCTATGGGGGAAGGAGAGAATGGCAGCAGTTAACATACAAAAACTGGCTGTAGTTCAAATTGTATGTTTGACAGGAAGAAAAATACCTTGGCAAATATACATCTTTTAACTATTCCTTTCGTTCTCTATGTGTTTATATTTTCATTCTTATTTTCTCTTTATCTCAAGGGGGGGATAACATTGTTAATTCTGAAGAAATTCTATATAGGATACTTGGGTTGCATGCTCATCTGAAGGATACTAAATCAATATGCTAAAAAGAACACTTTGTGGTTTCTACAAATTGAAGCATGTTTAAAAAGAGGCTAATGTATAAACAAATAGGAAGGGAATGGATGCATATAAATGGCACTATATATATGTATATATAAAACATACAGGGTCTCATATAACACACTGGCAATGAGCAATAGTAGCACTCTTATTCAGGCATTAGTAGCATTTAGAAGTGAGGTAAAAGAAGAGAAAGCAGAAATACTGGGCAGTAGACATCTTAGGAAAAAGAAAATACCAACTAAATCCACCTTATTAAATTGCAAAACATTTTTTCAGATTCCTCTTGAGTAATTTTGTTTGCCAAATGCCTGCTATGAGCTAGCTGCTGCTAGGAATACGAAAGGTGAGCAAAACATGGACTTTACCAGAAAGCAATCAGGGTTTAATCAACTCAAAATCTTGAAAAAAATAGAAATATTTAGAAAAGAAACTCAATTAGAATCTTGCTGTCTCTTTTAGAGATAATGTACTAGAAACTTTATAATGCAGCATTTGGCACTTGACTAAATAAGTCAGTTAGAAGGGGTATAACGTGCCCTTGCTTTACACACTAATTCTGTACTTACTATGAGATCATACGTCAAAGTATTGCAGGAAATCACATTAGTAGTACCACAGCAAAGTTCCAGGGAAATTATTTAACATACTCTTATAAAAAACCGAATTTGGTCAATGCTGTTCATTTATTTTAACTATATATCATGTTTTAAAACCCAATACTATCTACTACTAAGAGTGTATTCTAGAAAAAAATTAAATATAAAATATAGCAAAAAAATTTTTATTATAATTGACACTATTATGATTAGATATCATTTGTAGATTGTACCTACCATGTGTACCATTATTTAGCACAGTGTCTACCATGTGTCTGGAAAAGTGCTAAGTACTTCAAATTCATTATATCATTTATCCTAATAACAACTTCCTGAAGTAGGTTTTATTATAGCCAGTTTCATGGACAAGAGAACAAGGTCATTGACTTAGCAGAAGGACTTGAATTTCTAATAATTATTGTGCTAACGCAATTTCCATCCTTAGATCTCGACTTCTGTTTTTGATCAATTTCATTGTGTATTGTTTAAAATCAATGTCTGACATTAGATGAATGTTACAAACATGTCTAAACGACCTAGTATAACAAAATATAAGGGAGAATTGCAAGTGTTCTTACAATTTAGAATATAGTTTAGATAAGGAATATTATAACTGAGACTGTGAAAGACATGGCTCTCTTAAAGCAATTTCAGCAGCCAAAGGACAACTCTATTCTAGCTAGAAGATGACTGGTGACCACCACATCAAGGGGATTATTTGCTGTTTTTGCAATATTTATACCAAAATATTTAAAATTCTATTTACCTTTAGTCCTAAAAAACATTTTAAAAACTTGAATACAAAATTAAAGACTAGTAAATAATGTGCCTTAAATAAAGTTAAAGGGAACATAAAATGGCAACTGACTCTCTGGATTCTCTTATAAACTATCCAAGATAGTGACAAAGGATTAGACTAAATAACAACAGACAAGACTAGCTACGACTTGAGAACCTTTTAAAAGAGAAGAATGCTATGTGTTCAATTTAATGGTATTATGTGATTTTTTTTCCTCAGGCAGTTTATATTAATTTCACATATAAATTAATATAATTAATAGATCATAGTCTCAAGCTAAAATGTAACATTTTTGTATTGTTTTATATACATACCATATTTTACACACACACACACACACACACACACACACACACACACACACGTATGTATGTATGTATGTATGTATGTATGGCTGACTCCTAAATCTAAAAGTTCTAAAGACAGAAAAGATGTGAGCAAAGAATGTTTAGTATAAATTAAATAATGTGTTTAAAACAGTTGTAAGATCAACAATTTAGCCACTGTGGGCATTAAAAAAATAACTCTATGTTAGTCTACTAACCAATAATAAGATAGCATTCTCACATTATCTCTTATCAAATTTCATTATCTATGAATGAAATTTTTAGATACTTTTTAGATTAACACATGAAGTTTTAGCTATTTTTTTAAAAAAGAAAATGCAGAAAGTGTTCTAAGTATAAATAATAATGAACAGCTAAGAGATAGGGAAGAAGTCTTATGTTAGCCTCAAAATATACTCAGGAATGATTGAGCTAATTAAAGTATTTTTATTTACTTTTCTAAATAAGTGGAGGACTAGTCAACTATTCTTCAGTGCATGCCAGAGAAAATAAATAAAAATATGTGAAGATTAAGATCAGAAAATTCATTTGACATAGGGAACAACTCCAGGTTCATAAGGTTAACAAAACCCTTTACAAGAGGAAATTTCTACTTTTGGGGTATATACTTACAAATAAGGAAGAAGGGTATAAAATACAAAATCATCATAAATTAAGAAAACAACAGATGGATACACATTTTAAGACAGCAATAGTGATACAAGAGCTACA